TATACCATTGTATTATGTAAATATAATTACCTACGTGGTATATGCTATAAGCTATTTGAGGAGTTAACAACATTAACGAAGAATTAATGGTTATCGTCATTTGCGTAAATTAGGAGGCTTTGGACGACTTATAGTCCCTCCAAATCATGTTCTTATCAAATAGGTATAGTGTACCTATTATTTATCATTATTTTCCCACAAATTAAAAATAAGTAATAACGTAATAAACACAATAATAATTATCAAAATGTTGCTTTATGATACTGTGTTACTGATAAGTGATTATTATAAAGTTATGAACACAAATTTACGATGAATGATATTTCCAGCAATGTACCCCGAATATTCTCAAACTATTAACTACTATAGATACCTATTACCTACCTAACTATGTAGCAGCTATACATTTGAATTTTGAACATTCGTTTAGCGTCATGAATGTATGAAACCTAATCATGGATCAACTTTAGCCTTGTATTTTTATATTGTTTCTCCTACAGTCCTACACAACGAGATACATATTGTATTATAACAATCCAATAATATAGACTTGGAACAGATTGTAAATTAATTTACAGATAAATTAGATTGTCTCGTCCAAATTCACGTTTTATGCCGTTTGCTTAAAAATTAGAGTGAATTGACTTATTATGAAACTTGATGGTAAGAACATTATCTGTGTTTTGTTGAAAACTTGAAAGTTTTTTTTACGATAATTTAGTTTTTAGGTAAGTGAGTTGTACATGTATAATGAATGTAAGTTAAAAATCCTCATTAATCAATTAAAAACGGTTTTGTACTCTTTGCAACTTTATATAATGTAATAAGAAAATTGAAAGATTATATAGGTATACAAATACAATAATTGAATACGTTCAATATTATTTATGAATATAGCTCCTTTAAAATGTTTATCAATAGACGATCTGTACATGTGGTTTTTTTGTTAATCTTTCACACGTCAATCAAAAGAGAATTACATAATATTATTATTATTTGAGTTTTTTGTACATAAAAAATAATCTAATTGGAATAGACAATAAAAGTTGATTTCGAGTTCAAGTCACGCGATTTCAGGACTACTTGTATCGTCTGTAATGAATGCCAATAGGATAAAACATTAAAACAGATAAAACTGATAAAGAATTGAATAAAAAAAAATATAGCGAATATAATTTGAAGTTACAATACAGATTATTTTATAAATAGCCTATAGCCAATTAAAGTGAACACCTATATTATCATTAGATACTGATCACGTCATGTTAACAACATATTTTTCATATTATTAGTTAAATAAAAACAATTGAATATTTAAATTTTGAAGGATATCTAATTTTTATTTTATATCATACACTCACTTTCTAATTTCATAATAAATCATAAAATGTAACTATAGAAACACCAAAGTACCTATTAAATTCGAGTGTCAGTAAATACGTTTTTAAAACGTGAACATTTTTTTTAACATCGCTATAGTTTTTATTTTTACTCCGTTTAATTCAATATATAAACTATATACCTACCTATTAACTATATACCTATAATATTATATTATATACATGAGTCGTCTTGAAATCTTCCTAAAATTCAATCGTCTGTCGTCATAAAGGTACTATACAGGGATAATAATCACTATATTCATATATAAGTTGCTAAAGTGATCATAATATTTTAATATGCCTACGGTCTAAATAAATGGAAAAAAGAAAAACCAGGCTTGCAAATTTTATAATAACGTTATGATTATTTATTTATTTATTTTATTTTTATTTATTCTTCAAGAAGATTATGGGCCCCACTGATTACTGTTGGATAACATGTTCGTGTGGGGGCCCATGAGTTCACAATTTGAAATATAAATACCTAACGTAATATATAACGTTATAACGTTATATTTGACAAAAAACGATTGAAATTTGTAAAGTTATTGTAACGGAATGCCATAATAAAAGTAATTAAATACCGCAAGACAAAACATAACATTTAACAAAATATATTATATATCATTAAACAAAACATAACGAAAAACCGAAAACGTAATTTATAGAATATCATTGAACAAAAAATAACGCAAAACGAAATATTTGCAATCCCTGGGAAGAACACATATTTTTATAAAATATAAAAACTGTGAAAGTAACAGGATATGCAGGTTTTTCACTAGGGATTTTTTCTGGCATACCTATTGTATAATGACTAATGATAGTCAAAAGTTAATTAGGTGATTAAGTAAACAGTACTTAAGAAATATGTATTCTGGTATTTATATAATGATGTTATATAAAATACAAAAATTGATTTGTTTTAACTTTTATCAACGACATTTACGATTTACTGCTGCTTGAAATATACATAATATTATAACATTTTTAATTAATATATTGTATTAACCTTAAACCTATTTAACATAACTGAATGATATACCTACCTACATGGCTACATAATAATCATTAATATTTTAATATATTAAGATCCTTGACTAGTGAGCTAAACTGGATTTTAGAGATAATGAGGTGATTAATAATTGAGTAGGTACATTTATTGGGGTTTTTCGCAAAGTTTGGAGTCGTTAATTGTTGTAGAGTTTAGGGTATATTAAATTAATAAAATATGCAGTTACTAGTAAAGGCATTTTATACGATAATCTGCATTGTCGAAGTAAATCATTTTCTTAATGTATACAAGAAAGTGTTTTGGATTCACGAGTATTTAAGATATTGGTGTCCCTGGTAGCCAGTGGTGGATTCAGAGTGGGGGCAAAAGGGGCTTTCCCCCCCCAAAAAAAAATTAAGGCCTGCTATATCCCTGCTTATCCGCCACTGCTAGTAGCACCAGGTTTAAGAGATTATTTCACAATTTTACCTACCAGTTAACCATACTAGTATAGCTAATAATTCTGCTCTGATCAGAATGATGTCGATAGGTAATTTATTCGTATTTCGTACACTAGCTAGTTAGCTTCAATACCTCACATTATATTTTTAATTATTGGTAATTCTTTGTACCTAATTACAATTTATTTTGTTATATCTTACTTTTGTTTATCACAAAATTGATAGATTTTATTAGTTTGTTTATATTATTCCAAAAGCCGTTTGGCGTTGAATTTCAATAAAATAAAAATAAAAATAATTGTTTAGAAAGAGAGGCTGACAATGCTCGCAACAAACGGTGGCAATAGGCACAGAGTACAGAAGTACTACAGAGTACAGAAACTCCTTGAGTCTAGATGAGCGCATACGCATTAAACAGTGCGACGTGGTTTTCGATTAAACAAGAATTCTTATTTTCATCTTCAACGAATAATCATAATAGTGATTCGTCGCGCGTTTTTTTCTTAGTTTTATACGTTTATACAGCCGTGTGCGTTATCAGCCAGCCGCGGCCGCCTCGCTGATTACCAGTGTGCCTGTGTGCAGGCCAACTACGCTGCACCTAGCCGGCAGGTGGTGCCCACGTTATTGTATATTATATACCGTATAAGAGTTAATAATAATAATAATAATAATAATAAAATAAATATATGATGTACGTAAATAATATGTCGCATGTCGCTACACAAAATATTAATATTAATATTTTGTTTTAATTTCATTGACAAAACCGAACGAATACGAGTCACGAACAATTGAACAAGCGATACAAGAAAAAACCCGCGTAAAATATTTCCCAATCATCACAATAATAATAATATTGTTATTATTGTTGTGCGCGCGCGCGCATACACACACACACTCGCACCATCAGCGCCGGATACGTCGCCGGAGCAGCGGCAACGACGACGCGGTCAGGTCCGCAGGTGGTGCGGACACGACGGTCGGTGCCGGTGCTGGTGCGGTGGTGGCGGCGGCGTCGACGACGACGACGACGACGACGATAAATTATAATTGCGCGGCGGGCGACGTCGTATCACACAAACACACGCACACATACACAAACGGTGGCGGCGGCGGCGGTGAATATGTAGGTTTACGGAGTAGTGGCCGGTGCCCCGCTCTCCGCACCACCATCACCGCCGACGCCGTAGTGGCGTACTCGCACCGTTGTTGTAGCTGACGACGGCTGCCGTGGTGGGGATCGGCCGTCGGCGCAGTGTTCGGCCGCAACCGCCGTCGTCTGCTGTGTTTGGGCACGTTCCATCCCCGGCGCGCAACAGCGACAGCACAAGCCACAAGCAGGCAGCGGCAGCACGAGCGTGAGCGGCGGCCGTGTATGACGACGCTTACCTCGTACGAACGTTTTTTAACTTTTCACTTCGTTATTTTCGCCTCTCGATAAAAATCGCGAATAAATTCTCTGTGGTGCGATACGACCCTCGGACACGTCGACGATAAAATCCAATCTTGACGACGAAATCACCGTCGCCGTCGTCGATCTCGTTGTTGTTGTTTACGTCCGTACACGGCTCAGTGATAGTAGACAGGACCGATAGTAATAATAATAATAATAATAATCGTCGTGTGTGTGTTGCGCGCGCCAGACGGTTACTTGTTGATTTGATTTTTTTCCCCGATTTTCTTTCTGGACGCGTTTCCCCCGACCACCACCTCCCCCTGCACCGACCATACCGAAGCGGATTCGGCGTCGTCCGTCGCGCGTTTTGTGAGCATCTCGCTCGCACGCGTCACACACACACACTCGCTGCTTCACTCACACACTCACACACGCACACGCACACACACGGTAACGTAACTGGCAAGTACACACTACACACACACGCGAGCGCGCGCGCACACACACACTCGTACAGTCACTCTCGCACACATTCACGGACCGGATGCCAAAATAATCGCGCAGCCCGCTTTTCCGCCGGATGCAGTAGTGGCCCGCGAACACAGCAACAGACTCCGTCGAGACACCGATGCGAAGACGGTCGACATGTAGACGTCAAGATCGACATGATCCGCCGGCCGATCGTCGCCGCCGCCGTCGTCGTAGCCGCCATACCACTTGGCCACCACCACCTCGAGGGTGCACCGTCGTCTTGAACAGCCGCCATGGACCATTCGGCTGCGGCGGTCCACACGTCTAACGAAAGGTATGTGTACCGCGACCGTCGTCGTCGCCGTCGTATAATATAAATTATTTTAATAATGTTGTGTTACTGTTATGTTCGGCGTTATTGCCGCTATCTATAATGTTACTATCGTTGTCGTCGTCCATTAGACGACGGCCTTAGCCGCACATGGTGCATCGTCCGATGACGTCCTCCGTTGGCCGTCGCGTTTTATTAATTTTCATCCCTTTGCTCGGGCACACCAGTGCCTCGAGATCAAAGGTGTGCCCGCTGTCCGGGTTGTGTTGCCGATGAGCACCGGCCAGTTGTCCACTTGTGTTCCTTGGTTTTCAAGGTCGACATAATAAAACCATCTGCTTATCTGTTTGGCTTTCTTTCATCATACATTTCACAGCACATCCTGTTTACAAATTAACAAATGTCACTTTCTCAGTATTATAGCATTACCTAATATATTATTCTCTCTGTTTGTTTACTTTTTTTTTTAAATTTCGAGGTGATCGAATTAAAACCGAAAAACAGTTTTTATTTATTTGGAACTGATGAATTTCAAACAAGTGTTAACACAATTTCTTGCATTTTGTTTTTGTTTCAAAATAATATTTTCCATGATTGTGAAATATGTTTTCAGATTTGGGTAAAACTAGTATGTTAACCTATCTTCCTATATTAATTGCATCTATATACATTTCTTTTGACAGTATTTCTACATTTTATGACCCTTGTTTAACGTGTTGAATGTTGATAATAATCAACATAATAATTATTTTTAATTAAATAAGCCCCTAAAGTAGAACAAGTATAATGATTACCTCGCCGTATAACAATCAATTTTAATTAGTTAGGTACCGATCTAATTATATGATTGCAGACGGTATTTACCCAAAAGTTTAAAACATTAAATTAAAAAAAACATCTGCTTATGACTAGTCGTATAATTTTTCTAGGTAAAGATAGTTCACTAAAAAATAATAATATACAAATATTTATTTAAGTTATGAGTACATTTTTAGAGTACAAACAAATATTTAAATATACACCTATGATCACTGAACTGTCCTTGATGTTAAAATATAATATAACATAACAATTGTTTTAATAAATTGATATTTTATTACCTACCTAATCATCTAGCTAATGTTTTTTAATATTACCTCATCTTTACGTGTAGGTACCTATTTGGTCATTATTTATACTTCCCTTGTTTTAATTTCATGATGATAATTGATAATATTCTCTAGTGCCGGTATTTTCTAAGTATTTTTTTTACCAATTGATTGTACTATCCATTATAATATACCTAATATATTTTTGTTTCTGTTTTATAGTAACCTTATGAGTTAAATTTCAATGTGACACCTATTCAACAAATACAATTCTTTTAAGAATTATAGATGGGTACATACCTACTTACATTCTTTATTTAAAAAAGTAAAAACTAAAGTTAGTCTATTGAAAGACCTAGGTAATTTAGTATTAATTATTCTAGAAAAAAAAAATATTTTTGTCATCAAATTTATCTTATTTATAGGTATATTATGTACAATGTATAAGTATTAGAACCAGTGGAATTAGGTTTCTATTTTATAAAAGAGCCAGGTTATTTGGTAATAGGTTTATGCAAAGCCCTAATTCTCTAGGTAGATATTGTGTATTTATAAGAAATTGACTTAATTTCTAATAAATTGAAAGATATAGATAAAGGTTCATTATAAATTATAGGTACTAAATTAATTTAAGTAGTATTTAACTGTTGGATGATTTTTCTATGTTACTCGTCATGTGTTACACAAAATAAGATAGTTTCTAAAAAAATATTTAAGCACAAAATGTTTGTACAAAATAATAATTGAATGATTAAAATATATAGGGCATATTATATATTTAAAAATTGTATATAGTATTAAAAAAATAAGAACATTTTTATGAAGGGAGTGGTATACCTAATATATTCACAATATGTACCTACTTATAATATTTGATAATTTTTCTAGGTGAAAAAAATTTCTAAACTAATGGCCTATAATTTAGGGCACTTATGGGATATTGTAAACAATTTGGGCTACAAATGAGATTTACTGAAAAAAAAAATACAAAGTTTACATTGTGCGTAAACAATTGAATCCATTTGTTATTTTCTAAAAATAACTTAGAATTCATCACATTAAGTTTCTGGCTACCAGACTATTGGCGTCAAATTAATGTTTAGTTTTGAGTAACAGATAACTAATATTTATTTATTTTTATACGGTACACATTTATGTTCTAAGAGTTGTTGAATACCTACTTAGTTAAAGTTTTTAAAACTTAAATATCACCAATATTTTTTTTATTTATTTACTATCTAAGTATTTAGATCAATCATGTTAAGTGTACAACCTTCCACAACTATATGTAGTCTGTGATCTTGATTTTTAAATATTGTGTACATATATTTTCATATTCAAAACTAGGGATTGACTTTAGATGTATAAATATATTAATTGGCATTTAAATAGGTATATTTTCTACCTAAATTAATTATCGAAAGTCTAATTAAAAATATAAGGTACCTAATATACCTTATTAAGTAAATCTTGTGGTTGGGTTAATTTTATTCTATATAACCATTTTTGGCCCTTGATTTTCATTTTAATAAATTATTCTAAAATCAGGTTAAATGAAAGAAAATTTGGATACCTATGCTGGAACTATATACCTACTATTATACATTTATACTACTTGCGTAGGTGTTATAAAAAAAAGCTCCCTGATAAATATTTAATACAATTAAACTACCTATTATTATATATTTAGGAAATATCATCAAATTAGAATTATTTTTAGAATTATTCTATTATTAATGTGTTTGGGTTATGGTACATGTATTTTAGTTTATTTTACTTAATAAGTTTTTTTTTATTGATATTGTTATTGATACAGTTATTACTTTTTACATATTAAAATATATACCTATTATAATAATAAAGGTTTTGGATTGAAAAAAAAGTTTATGAGGTTTAACTCAATTGGTTCAGTCCAAACCAAAATTTAAAATTATAATAACTTAATAATTTTACTTTGCTTTCAAATATTGTTTAAAATAGATGTATTATTATTAATTAAGAGAGGATGAACATGTTTGCTGTGAATCTAAATTATGGGGTCATTTTCATGTGAATACTGAGTGGGGTGCCATAATATAACAAATTTTTATTTTATATATTTACTAGTATATTTATGAGTTATGAATTATATAGGTAGGTACATAACATAGATACTGACTTATGAATACCATTTTGTTTTTATGCCTACAGGTAAAGAGAGAGATTATTTGAACTTTTTAAACATATTTTATTGAATAAAAAAATTAGTATTTGGCCTATTTTTCATTACAACTTCATTACAACAAGTCTAAATACCTATACATTTCAAATACACCTAACATTTGAATCCTTTATATCAGGTGAGCCCAACTTTTTTCAACTTGCAGGCCACATTCAAAATTCATATTTATACTGCGGGATGACTATATTTCACAGTTTTTTTTGTTCATTCTGATAAATATAATAACTTTGTTCACTGAATATTTCCACGCTAGTCGCTAGTTAACAATTTGTTTTGGTCATTAGAATCTACACAATTGTAGGATATTTTATAATTCTTAAAAGCTTATTAAAATAATTTTTTTTTTTTAATTATAATTTAATTTTTATTAATTCTTATTGTATAGGTAGATACAAATTTCTAATTTTATAAAATTTTCACAGGTAGGATGGTTACTTCTGCAAGCCACGTGTTTGAGTACTCCCGCTTTATATAAATCAAATCAGAAATTTATGAATATTTCAAGTTTCAAAAATTATTGGAGATGTATTAAAACTGATTCATCATACAACAGTTTTTATTTTTGAAATATCGCAAATACCTAACTGAAGATTATGACATTCTAAAACAGTAATAGATGATAAAATAAATATTCTTAAATATATTAGTTTGAAAAAAATTAGCAACGAACACAAACACAAATTTATAATAACAGAAATTATAATTAGGGTTCAGACTTATATACTTAAAAAATTTGAAATATGATGCTAATATATTCTAAAAAAAACCTAAGTACTAATATTTTACTTATAGGTTCTCTTAAAAAGAGTAAAAATATTTTTTTATATATACAGGGTGATTATAAATTTATGTTACAATAATATGCTATTACTATACCTATTATTGTAACATAAATTTTGAATCACCCCGTATATACAAATCGCCTAAAGGCTTTTAATTATAACGACCAATGATCTTTAACAATACATTTCAAAGGTGTACATAAATATTAATGATTAAATATTTTGGTAAATATATATAAATACGTGTTTGGGTTAACACTCCTAGTGGAGAAGCCCCGGTCTTAGTCTAATATTTTATACTAAGTCAAATGGTTTTTGGCGTTTAAGACCGCCTTATGTCTTGAAAGTTATCAAGTAGTTGAATTGCTGCTGGATCGGTGTGTTTTTCTTTCGGGCAAACTTAGTTATCTCATCCTAAATGGTGATTAAACAATGAAATGAACATCAAAATTGTCTTTAACCTTTTGAGGACAATATTAAGAATATATAGCTACTACTCAGAGAGCAAGTTAGAAATTAATAAAATATGGGAAAAACTATATATTATGGAGGAAGGTATATTTAATTCTGATTTTTAGAGATGACGTATAAATACATCCTAAATTGGTGTATGTATATAAAACAATGAAAATGTATTGGTGATAAAACTGTAGATTTATCAATGTTCCCTATGCCAATTTTTTTTAAAAATATATTCAAACGAAATTGTTCATCAAAAGGTTAATATTATACAATAATAAAATTACCATTATATAAATAAACATAACAATATTTCTTTGATAAATAAATATGGAAGCTACATACATTTAATATAACATAAAACTACTCTGATTATGTTAAAATAATTATTGAATAAAAAATATATAGGTACCTAATATACTATATAGCAGGGGTGGCCAAACAGTCGATCGCGATCGACTGGTCGATCTTCGATGATTTCTAAGTCGATCCCCATTGTTAGAATTTATTGATTATTCTTATATATTTGCAATTTAGTAGGTACACTTATTAAATACATATGTTTCAGATTAACCTGTTAGTGTGAAATCGCATTTTCTCACATGAAAGTTATAATTTATAGAAGCTGAGTAGATTAGTTTTAGACTTTAGCACAGGGTCTTCGCTTGGTCATGATGTGCAATGACCCGCTTCTACATCAACAATAAAATGTTAATACATTTTAAAATTACCTAAAAATTTAACATGAAACACTAATTTTAGATAACTTAACACTTTAATTCACTTAATTTATTATTTATATAAGTATGTTTATTATTAATATTAAATAATTTTTTTACATTAGTCGATCCTAAAAGAAAAAATATACCCTCAGTAGATCTTAATCAAAACAAGTTTGACCACCCCTGCTATATAGGCATATATATATATTAAATGGGCACCTAAGATAATAAAAAAATAATAGTAGTAATGATAATATATTATTATTTCCCACAATTATTTAAAAAATATTCCCCATTTTCTGAATTAATTTTAAATATACAAAAATAACTTTCCTGTGAATTCTGTGTTTAATCTTTATTTTTAACTCTCTTCAAAGCTGCATCCACTCTAAGGCAAAACTACAAAAACATAAAAATCTGGACTCTAATTCTAATTGGTACTTCATTTTTATCAAATTGAAAATTTTTCTGTTTTTTTCTTTTTGTGTTTCATAGGCTTTAAGCCATCTTGTTGTCAAACACAATATTATAAATATAATTATTACTTATAGGTACCTATAATTTTAAAATGTATAATTAATGTATTATTTTTAAAAACTGTTATATTTATATTTTTTTTGAAAATTATGCACAAGATGATTACTATTCATCGTCTTACTTAAAACATTCCTATTTAATTGAGCTGCTAATTGTTTGAAATATATTAGGAATATTCATAAATAAACATAATTTCTAACGTGATACCGATTTTGAATCTTTGTGTCATGACATATGTATGTTGAGGATTGAATAATTTTATCACATTGTTACAAAATATAATAATAAATTGTAGACATTTTAAAATTTTTACAACCCTTTACCTTAGGAATTGAAAAAACGTTTGGTAAAATGTTCATTTGATGACTTACATTTGATAAGCTTAATCAACACTTACTAAGTAATAACAATATTAATTTAAAAATGTTATGTAGGTTATATCAATGCATTTAGATGGACTGTGGCTAAAAAAAGTCATGAATGGTAATGTTTTGCATTTGTTTTTTATTACCCTACTTATGTCCCTACTTAGTAGCCTTTGGAGTTTGGACAGGTGCATGTGCATGTGTAATGTCTTTCCTATAATTGTATTTACTTAATTTCAATAAATTTGTAGATCTGCCATTTGGTATATTTAAGTATTAGAGAATTAAATATAAATAATTATTATGTTTAATGTATTTTTTTAACATTTTTTTAAATTAATTTATAGTGGAATCTTAAACATTTGAAATTCAAGAAATTCAACAAAAAAAATTGAGTTTTCCAGATGTAAAATGTTTTTATATGTGTGAGGCTTAATGGTATTCATTTGGAAATTACAGAAATAAATAATTACTATAGTGTTGATGTTAGAAAAAATTTAAATTTACTGTAAATTTAAATGTATTCCTAATTAATATAGGAATAATAAGTTGGCAATAAGAAATAAAATTAACATACAAAGCTATTGTACATTTGTATGTTTTAACTGACCTTCAGTACCTAATTATCATGCTAAATTAATTAGGTATCTAAAATTGTATAAGTAAATTTTATATAAAAGTTATTTAATAAATAAACATTGATAACAATTAATTTCCTACAGAATTACAACTGTTGAGTATTATTTTCTCAATACCTAAAGAGCTTTTAATAATGATTGTTGTTATTTGTTAAATTAAATACATACAGGTATAACCAAGTTGGTATTATTATCAAGCATTAATTTGATTTTACATATACATGATAAATTAATTATTTTGTGTGTTGATATTTTGTTGTGCTCTATTTTATATGTTTTCATCATAAATAAATTAGTAATTTGGTAACTCATCAAAAAAAAAAATTGTTGTAGGTATAGAATCGTTAATAGCTTTTAATTAGACTAAATTATACATTTTTTGAATATGAATATACACACATATATATAGGTGTATATATAATATATATATAATGTACCTTCAACCTATATTAGTATTTGCTTAATATATTTTTTAAACAATTAAATAGATTTATAAAATTTAACTTTTATATACCTACTATATTTCTTCTTTGAATATTATACTAAACTGGATAAAACCTTTATATAGTCAAACTAATTAAATTTAAATAAATCAATTCTGTGGAGAAAAAAATCATATTCTTTCAAGTCAATGAGAAAATGAATAATAAATGTAAATAAATAGTTATTTATTTACTTCAATATTTTTTTTATTTTTTTGTCGTATATTAAAGCTATATTATTTAAGTAGTAATAAAAATTTCCAAATTCAATTCATTAAGTCTATTAATGTATTCTATATTTTACAGGCCATCTGAATATTTACTTCCTCAACCCTTGATTGCAGAGGCTCTAGATTCTCCATCAAATTTACCATCTACAACTACATTAACTGTTTTAGTAGTTAAAGATGAAAGAGGATATGGCATGAAAGTGTCTGGAGATAATCCGGTATTTGTGCAATCTGTCAAACAAAGTGGGGCTGCAGAAAAAGCAGGCTTACATAGTGGTGATAAAATTATTAAAGTGAATGGTGTTAATGTGACACACTCTACACACACAGAAGTGGTTGAACTTATTAAATGTATGTATACTTTTTAAATGCATGTAGCGCCAATGTATGACAATTGTATGTACCGTATTTTCAGCTTCCACCCAAGTCGAATTAACAGTTCAACAAAGGCCTTTGTTTATAAACTCATCAAATCCTAATTTAACATTACCACCTTTGCCTTTACCGACAATGAATTCTTCTACTGTATCTCCAATAACACCGTGTTCTTCTGTAACACCATCCAGACCTTTGCATCACCATCATTCAGCTCCTGCTCGTGATCGAATTACAGGACCTCAACCTGTTGATGTATGTATTTTAAGCCTAATTATTTATTTGAAACCTAAATATATTATTATGTTCTTTGTGTTGTTCGAATGATGAATGTTTAAGGTACTAATTAGTAATTGGTACAATTTGAATGAAAATAATTTTATCACTTACTGTTCCAAGTTTTGAAAAACAGTATTTGTTAATATAAAATGGTACACAGTGCATTAAAAATAATTCTTCAAGCATGAATTCTTCACTATATACTGTGCCACAAGATAATGCAACTGATATGCGCATTCGAATGATTTGCTCAAGCAGCACCAATTTTCCCTTTCCCAGCAGACACCAGTCACCTTCTAACATGTTACGGGTAACTATGGTGGTCGACGGTGGCACACTTTAGACTAGTTTTCGGAGGCAAATGAGCGAACTGAACATAATTTGGTCGGCGATAGGTTGCATTCTCTAGTGGCGTGGAGTATGGTTGCATTCTCTAGTTGGTCGGAGTATAAATACTATGTTTTTCGATTATTTAATTATACACACTTATATAAATTAAAAACAATTTTAAATCAAGCATTTGGTATAAAGTTCAAGACACTAAGATTCTATATACTAAGTTTCATTTTTAGAATCTGGTAAGGAGCTGCTTAGTTTTACAATTTTAGTTCTGTTTTAAAATATATTACATTCAAATTTCACTGATATTATGATACAATATTTAATTTATATATTTATAAAATTACGCAAATTAATTTAAATTTTACCTTAATTGTTTAATTTTAATTATGATAAACTAATGCAGTTAAAATTTGTTCAGAAAAATAATTTTTTTTATAATTTAAGAATTTAGTTCTAAAATAAGTGATACACTGATACATAATATCTTTATTGCAAAAAAAAATGTTAATGAAAGAAATTAAAAAAAAATATTATTAATATTTTTATAATGTTTCAAGGTGGAACAAATGAGACATGTTGAACTAGAACGATGGCAAACATTCAGATTAATGTTAGAAAAAGAACAGAGGTATGTGGAGGTATTAAAAAAAGAACTTCATAGATCGTCTTCAGATGTATCCAGTGGTGAAAAATATAAATTGAAAACAGAATTGACTGGCGCTGAACGTCGAGTTAAAACACTGCAAGACCAGTTAACTACGTTCAAAGAAGTACCGGTAGTGTACAATACTTATTTTCTTAAGGTTATGTGTAATATAATGGGACAATTATTATATTTAAATACAAAGTCGCATGATCTATTTTTATAGAAAATTAAAATATTAAATTTTTGGTGTTGACTATTAATTTAGTATTTAGTATATTAGCAGATTTTCGATAATTTAAAACTTGAAAGTTGAATTTTTTAAAAATTACACCTAAATGTGAATACTTTTTATATTGTCTAGAATTTGCGATTATGTTACATATTGTAGTTTGAAGTATATAGTAATTTTAGTTTTTGGTTTGTGTTTTTATGATCATATTATAATGTGTTTAAATTATTGAAAGTACTAACATGTTTTACAAACATTAATTTATCATATTGTTTATAAAAAATGTTTGTCAGTTTTAATTTAACACTGCCAGTGCCATAGAAATGTGTTGATAAACATCAATTGAAAGATGATATATTTATGTTCCTTTGTACTAGAGGTGGGTTAAACTGCTAGATATTTGAAAAATCAAATTGAACTTGTTCAGTTTGAGTTTGATAGTTAAAGCTAGTTTTTAAAAAACCAAACTCGAACAGTTGGACATTTTATAATTAATCCAAACTTAAATACAAAAACTCTGAAAAAATTCTCGTTGAACATACTATTAAAAAGTTTAGTTCAATGCCACAATCTTTAAGTTCTCTCCACCTCTACTTGGTACGTTTTATTTTTTATATAATTCTACACTGTTACAGTTAATGAAATAAATACAATAAAAAAAATATATTCAATGTTTAATTTAAAATTGATAAAACATTAATTAATATTTTGAGCCAATTTAAACTTTGTTGAATTGATAGTATAAACTTAATATTTGAGGAAATATATTAGATTTTTATGTTTAACACTATTTCTAAAGCACTATATGATGTCTGTTGAGTCGTTGGCTCTAAAAGTACAACTAAATGTACATATTTGCATTCTATACAATTTAGTTTAAATTGATATTAGCACTTGCTTAAGATATTTATTTTGATATTAATCCTTTTCCTTTTCATCCCAAACTTATATTTTTACACCTTTAATACCCTATTTCCAATTCTCAGTGTTTTGTACTTTTTTTTTGTTTAACACGATCGTATGCATATTTATTATGTTGACAGCTTTGTAATATTGTTGCACAAGCATCTTCACTTCAACCTCCTCCACTACCACCAAGAAACCCACCACCACTACCTCCTAGAAATCCAACGGCCCCTTTGATTAGTGATAAGCAGTCGAATAATTCACATATCACTGGTGTTAACAATAGTCAAACTGTAAGTACGCGAAAATTGTTTAAGACAATTAATACCCTATTATTTCTTAAAATATTCCCATATTATGTTACTTAATTTACTTATTTCTAAATTTAATTTAAAAAAATATATTTTATTTACATTGAATCATACAAACCTTAATATTCCCAAAATGAAACTGTTTTTAAAAGTATTCATATTTAAAGTTACCAATTATACTTTGATTACAATGAAAATATACTCTGTCTAACTTAAAAACCCAATTTGTAGTGACTATCATCCACCATGATTTCTGTAACACCCCCAGCTTTATAAGAAACTTCATCTGCATGAACTCTATTTAATGTTGACTGCCACCAATCAAAGTAGGAAATAGTATAGTAAAAATACATTCTTGTGTACGGCAGAGTATATTTAATATCTAGATTAAAAATGTATAACATTATATAATGCAATACTAAAAATAATATATTTTATTATTAAACACAGATTAAAGAGTACTATTATTAAGTTAATATACTAAAATGGTTGTATGGTTGAATTAAATAAAATAACCGCTATATTAATTATTTTTACTCTATAATATTCTAATCATTTACACCTAAAAGTAATACCCAAATCCATACCATATGTTAGGTTAGAAATTATTAACTATGTTTTGTATGTTTTCTCTCCAACACAAGTTTTGCTTGTGAAACCAACGGAGGTAGGTACTTAAGTATAAATATGTTTGTTTTAAAATATTTATTATTGCATGACGATTTTATAAAAAATGTGATTGTGTATTTTCATGTTCTATTTGAAATGTGATTTTTGTAAGATTAATCACTTATATTATTAATGTATGTAGATGTTTAATATTAGTAAAGTTCATAGGTATATGGGTTTTATTTCTTGAACTCTTATTTGATACATTTTTATTTATCATTATGATTCTTATATAATTTTATAGTATAATTATTCTTTTATATGTGTATCTATACTTCCATTGCATTTAACTACTAATATTTCTTTCAGGATTCTCCTAACCTTTCATTGTGTCATCAACGTACAAAGTCAAATCCTGATCAACTTAGTGAAGGTAAACCATTAGGTTAGTACTTGAACTATCTTAATAGATATTAAATGCAAATCAACATTTTGAACAGTTACAAATACTATAGAATTAGTAATATAGAAAAAAAAATTGTAACATTAGATTAGATATTATTCTAGTATATTTAAAAGATAAAAATACATTTTTTACATCAATACCAGTATCTAATATGTAGCGCTGTATCGTTTCCAGTTCTTATTATTTATTGGATGTTGAATTATTCATTATTTAGAAATATTATACTTAAAATTATTTTATTTTTTCCATTGCATCTTCATCTCAAATGTATTTTCGTGCACTTTACGTCATAATTTGTATTAATATTTACAGGTAGTAAAAAGTTAAGCTTATCTGAATCCTTCAATGACTTGCACTTTGTAAAACACTCCAAGGGTGGATTAGCTTGGGATGTAGTATCACCACCTCGTCAACATTCTCCTAACAGATCTCCTGATGTAGCAAACCCATGTGATAAACCGCACATAGATATGGTAATATTATTATTAGTTTTTTTTTTAAAAAAAATGTTAATACAATATGTTATTCTATTATATGAATATGTATACGTTTTTTAGAATAAATATGGTGGTGATCGATGTTCAGTTGATTCTTCTGATCTAAAACTAATTCAAACTCCAATAATTTCAATGGAGGATGATGAAATTTCTGATCAAGAAACTGTAAGTTTTTTCAAAAATTATGGAAAAATAAATTTTGTATTAGTATTAATACATTTAAAATAATTAATTCTTTATTTTTCCAGAGCCATTTAGAAGAACATGGCCCATTTAAAAGTTTTACTAAATTAGTAGAACATAATGCACATCTAGCAGTATTTTTAAACTATGTTATATCAAATAGTGATCCCTCAGCTTTAGTATGTATACTAAAAATCTTAAAACCACTTCAAGAACAACATTTAATTATTACAATTTTATGTTTACAGCTATTCTATTTAGTTACAAATTTATTTAAAGAAGGCAATGCCAAAGAAATGAAAAAATGGGCGTATGAAATCCATTCCAGTTTTCTAGTGCCTTGTGCTGTACGTTTATAATATTTTAACTTATGTTTGTACTAAAAATAAGTTTAATTGAATTATTTCTTAATTATAGCCTTTGAGACTGACTAATATTGAAGAGAATCTTGTTCGTGAAATTGATGACATTTTACAAAAAGATTCGGATCGTGAAGAAATTTTACGTAAAGTAAGTATAATAAAATTTGAATACAGAAAATATTCATTTTTTACATCAAACTATTATTGCAGGTGTTTTGGAAAGCTCGAACCAAAGCCAAAGAAGAGTTGAATGAACAGCTGAGCGATTTTCGTCATAGACGAACAGCCGGTTTGGGTACACTGTTTGGCCCACCTGATTTCCAACTTGATGATAGTATTAATGATAAAGTAAAAGAGTTAAAAATAATTGAAATGATTCTTGTTCCTAATATGGAACCATTTATGTAAGTATTTATCATAATATTACATTTTTGTCCTTGTTTTAATATTAATGTTATTTTTTAGAGAGGACATGGACAAAGAGATTGTAGATGATAGAAGATTTACAATGGCAGCTGCACTGGCTACAGTTATGAGTAAAATATTTGGGCTTCGGGGAACTCAATTTAGTTCTCTTTTAGATCGTTGTCCTACATTTGTTTCTAAAGAAAAATCTCTAAAAGCTAAACTTATTGGAAAATGTCGAAAAGTAACTACATTCTATTTAATTTTTGAAATATCATTGTAAAACAAATTAAATTATATTTACAGTTTACTAACAAAGGACATCATTTTGTCGCTCATCAGTATTTCACTGTGACTTATTGCAATCATTGTCAGTTAATTATATGGGGAATTGGACCACAAGGTTATCAATGCACAAGTATGTTAATACCATAGAATTAATTATTAAAAAGCATTTAAATAAATAAATATATTTTTTTTTTAGATTGTATTTTAAATATTCATCGTGTTTGTGTGAAAGTTTTGGATGAAAACTGTCCTGGTCCAATAGTGAAAAAAGATAAAGCCAATGATCGCATTAGTAAACTTATGGATAAAATTCGACCTGAACGTGAAACTCGAAGAAAACCTGGTTTGAACTTTGTTCAAAGTAATAAGTTTATTTGCTGAATTTAACATATTAATTAATTATTTTTTTTTTATATCTGTTAAGTTGAAAAATCAAAGAGACAATCTGAAGACTCTGGTGATATAGTTGGGGCCCTCCCTGAAAAAGACTCCGGTAATGATTCAATTACATGCTCTAATAACATAAACTATTTATTTGTATATGAATATTATTTTTTTTTTTTTAATTAATTAAAATTTTGTTGTATACAGATCGAACGAGTTTAAGCAGTAGTAGTTTTCATTTTAAAAATGATGATAGTTTTAAATCGGAAAGAGGAGATACAAGTACAATTGAAGAAATGTAAGTTTTAATATTTTCCATGACCAAATATTATGCCGGTCGTCTATAATATATAACATTTTATTTTAGGTCTCATTGTCCAAAACTAAAACCAACAGGAATCTCCATAAACCGATCTGAAAGCTATAAAGAACGTATACACCAAAAGGTATTTATTGTAAACAAAAGAAATATTTTTTTTTAAATAATTCAATAAGCATTTAATTACTAATAACAAATTTGCTGTCTCCTCATATATAATACATTAGATTCTTCTGAAACAATTTCAATTTAAGATAATTTATATTATAATATCTTAAATAAATTGTGATGTCTAAGTAATAGCTTTGTTCATTTATAAACTTAGTGTTAACGCTATAGTGTACAAACATTTTTCAACTGTGAATGCAAGTGATTAGGATTTTTCAAAATATTATTGTTTTTATTTTATGATTATTGTATTTTCTTATCACAAAAATGTAGGTATGTGAGTCCCGTCGAGTAATCTATGGTTAGCCCCCTTATTCAAAGGAAATAAAGCGCTCCTACATATTTTGCTTTCTATCGGCAATAGTTTTTAAAATATTCTTATTAGGTACACTATTCGTTATCAAGTTTAATAAATAAGTAATTAAATAAATAAAACAAGCAAAATGATCTTAATACCTCTTAAATTCAAACCAGTTATATTCGACCTACTATATTCTATTATAATCTAATATATTTTCAATAAATTAATAATTTCCCTAAAGTACAATTTGGGTTTAATCGTATTCTAATAAAATACATACATATAACATACAGTTAATACATTTCTAAAAATTAGAAATCAAGAAAGTTTACCTGCCGATCTCTGATTTGGCAAGCATTTTATTTGTAAGTTGTTAACAATTTGCTATCTTATATTTTAATCAAGGAATGAAATTAAAATTTAAGTAAATTCCTTTAATATAAACGTTAAAGGAATAGTTTCTTATGTTAGACCAATTATTTTAATTGTATAAAAATACAGGGACAGCAATTTAAACTAAAATTAGTAGATAACTTAACTAAGTTGCACGTCATTGCTACTAACATTTATAATAATAACTTTTTATTTGTAGCGTCAAATTCGAGAAAGAAGGAAAACCAGTGATCCCAATCTCCCTTCAAAATATAAAAAGTTAGTGTACCCAAGTATAAATATTTACTAATTTATGTATTATTAATTATTATGTTTTATTTTTAGTGATGTGGAACACGAAATGCAGTTTTCATTTGCACGTTCTGATAGCTCCTCCAATTCTAATTTATCAACTAAGTAATTGTTTTTTTTTTATTCAACTGATGAACTTAAACGACTTACTGTATTTACTTTTTAACTAGAAGCTTGGACAGTCGTAGTACATCTTTGGAAGGTATTGGACAAGGTGGAGAGATGACATCTTGTTTAGATAGTGATTCTGATGATGAATTAGATTTACCTGATTGGGCCAGTAATGTTCCAACTGAAATATTGGATCAGTTATCATCTAAAGAGAAAAAACGTCAAGAAGTTATTAACGAACTTTATCATACTGAAAGATCTCATATTCGAGGTAAATCATTATTTTTAGATTGTTATATGGATTTGTATATCATAAATATTTAAATATACTTGTATAATTTTTAGGGTTAAAAGTTTTGGAGCATGTTTTTCATCGACCTATGAGAGAACTGCAGGTATTACCACAAGACCAACTTCAACTGTTATTTGCCAACCTTGAACAAATGTTTGAATTACACTCTCAATTTTGTAATGCCATGAAAGCAGTCAGGAAAGACAATCAAGTTGTTCAAAATATTGGTCATGTTTTACTTAATACTGTACGTATTTATTTATTTTCAAATATAAATTATTAAGTTACTCACATAAAAATTCAGTAACTTTTTAATTATTTTATTGGAAATGATAGACTAAATATCAGGAAACATATAAAAGACCTTGGTATAATTTTATCAAGTGATTAAAATTTCCTGATATGGAACCCTTCAAAATTACTTGATACTTAATACTTTATGGTTCGATATATTTTCATATTTCTGAATATTCAACTTTTTTTAATTAATTTTGAATAAACAGTTAAGTGGTTTACTTATCAAAATCAATAAATTATTAAATATATAGAACAATATTTTGTATGTTACATAAAATCTTATAATTTACAGTTTGATGGATCTGCTGGAGAAGTATTTCAAAAAGCTGCTGCTACATTTTGTGCTCGACAACAAATAGCTTTAGAATCTTTAAAAGAAAAAAGGAAAAAAGATACAAAATTAAATATATTTTTAAACGAAGCTGAGGGTAATCCTGTGTGCAAACGTTTACAGTTGAAAGACATTTTACCTACTGGCATGATAAGGTAATTTTACTTATTATTTAATCATCATAAGACTAAACGAATACTGATATATCTACGTATTTAATTCTAGATTAACTAAATATCCATTACTATTTGAAAGTTTGGTAAAATGTACTTCAAATGAAGAAGAATTATTGAATATCAGAAGATCGTTTGAGAGAAGTAAAATTATTTTAAATCATGTAAATCAAGCAGTACGTGAAGCAGAAGACCAACTTAGATTGTCTGGTATTCAAAAAAAATTAGATGCTTCTCCATTTGAAAAAGTTGATCATCCTCTAAGTGTTGACTATAAGGTGAAGAAAATAGTCAATAATAGTCTATTATTTGACTTTGTTTGAAAATAATTTTGCTTTATTTTAGACACAATTTATACTCATATTTGTTTTTATTATTTTTATTATAGAATTTAGATGTAACAAAACATAAATTAATACATGAAGGTGGTCTGTGGTTAAGAATTGGTGGAACTCGTCAAAAAATGATTGAACTGCATGTATTGCTGTTAGAAGATCTAATTATTTTGTTGAACAAGGTAGATGATAAATATGTTTTAAAATATTATGGTTTTCAAGATCGTACTCCTACTTTAAGTCCAATTATTAAGATGTCAACGGCTTTAGTCAGACACAATGCAGTGGGTGAGTGTTAAAAGTTGTTTATTTGCTTAAGAAATGTGCATTGATAATATCATTTAAAATTTTATTTATTTAGACAAAAAAGCAATGTTCTTGGTAAACACATCACTAGCTGGTGCTCAGATATATGATTTAGTTACAACTTCATCAAATGAAAGAAAAACGTGAGTCATTATATTTTAACCATTACTATTTATTTTTAATAACAAAATATTCCTTTATATATTAGATGGTTTCGTCATATCTCTGAAGCAACTGAATCCTATAAAGCTCGTGAAGGAAAAATAAAAAAACAAGAACAGACCTCTCATCATGTTATTGATTACGAAGACATAATACAGGGTACTAAAAAAAAGTCGTAAGTAACATTAAGTTGCTTTTTTGATGCTTCAGCCTTATGTTTTAATATCTATAATTTCAGGGTGACTGATAATTGTTCAGAACCTCCTAATAATAACAATAATAATAGTTTAAATAGTTCCCAGTTATCCACTTCATTAGACTCTAGTAATTGTGATACATCTAAACATGGTAATTAAAAATAAATTGTTTTGTATCAATGAGATAATTTTGTTACATAAATATTTGTTAAATTAGGTAATGAAAACTTTCCAAATAGTGGTGAAGCATTGACAATCGCTAACAGCACTCCTGTGTTGTCCAAAACTCAAAAAAGTCCATTAATTGAGCCATCTGAAGTATTAGTGTCACAAAGTTCTGTACTCAAAGCCGAACCAGTAATCACACACCTTGGTATGCAATATTAATTAATCAATGGTACTTGTTAATTTTATAATGTTAATAATAATATTGTTACCTATTATAGAAAAATTACGTAGAAATAATAGAGTTATTGAAGAAGCATTAAATGAACGTTTACAATTAGTTGCTGATATACTAAAAGTGCCTTTATCAATCCCTAATAAGACATCTGATGGTCAGGAAAAAAACATTTCAGACGAGCCAAACAAAATTTTATTTTCAGCAGTTTCTCAGGGTAAATTGAATGATTTATATTTAATATTACTACAACATATTTTAATTTAAACATACATTTTAGGAAATGAAATCATCACAGTATTAAATGAATCACTTAGTATGACTGATGTCGATGCTATTGCCGCAAGTTTGGGAACATCAAATTTAACATCAAATTGTAGTTTATACAAAGCCTATGCTACACAATTGTCTCGGATCACTAAAGTAAAACCAATTGTTGCTTCTTTGAATTCTCAAATAACAGAACTTTTGGTAAGGAAATATTTATATGTCATAAAATTGTATACACTATATATTCTAAAGCAACAAATAATAACCAAATCAAGATAGTTATCGCTGATAGTTTTCACTTAATTTATGAACTAATTATTTCTATCTATTTTAGATATCAACTACAAAACATGGTAAACTAGAAGAAGACTTACGTAAAGAACTTCAGACTTATCGAGAAAGACTACATGCTTTTCAAGAAAAATCAATAGGATCTACTAATACTGAAAATAATAGTAAATATAAATTATAAATTTAATAATCATTTCTACATGTCATATTTTAATAAAATATTGTTTTATTTTAGAAACTGAAAGTTCTGTCAATAACGCTTCCACTATCAACAGTTCAGAGAAAAATGGCTCATCATTAGAGGTGAGATAAATCAAATGTTATATTTTCTTCCACGCTTAGTGACGGCTCTTGTTAAATATTTTTTTGTTATTTTATAACTTGTTTCATAGCATTTATACTTAATTTAAAGATTTGCTGTTCACAGGTATGAGTGTATTTATTATTAAACATCAATACATAATATACACACTTTACCAATATATATGTCATATCATGCCAATACGTTTTCACTGTGTCATTACAATAGTCTACCGCTTATAAATTGTATCAATATCTTTTAAATCTTTAAATTGAAAGTATATATTTATTTATTTATATTTTATTATTTTATTTAAATGATAATTTTTCATGAAGGTAACTAACAAATGATCATTGTTTTATTTTTTTAAACATTATTTTACGTCCTGTTTTATTTAATTTTTTTTAAGACTGTGTAAAAAAACCTATACGATTATTTTAATAAAGATAATTTTACATCTTAACTTACGATACCTTAATATCTTTAAGATGTTGCTATTATTTTTATTATTTATTTATTATAATTTTTTTTTTTTTTTTTTTTATTGCTGTTTTAAATTCAATGTAAGTGTTAATACCTTTAGTTATATGTTTTTATTACTACTTAATTTAATTGTATGTTTTTTTTTTTTTAGTTTTACATATTAAGTGTTACTTGTTACCATATAACAAGGTTTGCGTAATTTGTTAATATGTTAAATTAATTTAAAAACAAATTAAATTGTAAGCTTTATTATTTGCTAAGCCAATATGAGACTAGCTTCAAATACAATTTTACACTATTCAATGTTTAAACATGAAAAATTTTATTTTTTAAATACATAAATTAATTTAATAGCACAGTAACATTTTTTTTTTTTTGTATTACATTTTTTTTTTGTATGGAATTGTTTCATGTAACTCATTGGTACAATATTGAACCAAAAGTCTTATTGGTTTTACAGTGGTGTCTATAATTTACAAAAGAATGTATTTCAATATAGTTCTTATTGTAACACATTTATAATTTTATGCAGTGCCATATCTAGGATTTTTAAAGGGGCTTGGCTAATATATAAACTTAGTATATTACTATATAAATTAAAATATTATAGTTTGGGTTATAAAAAAAAAATTATCTAATAACAACAATTGGCCAATTAATACATATTTCTATATTATATGTATCAATATATGGAACATGATGACATGATGATATTAGTATTTTTATATAACACTTGCTAAAAGAGGTGTCATATCCCCCCCAAACACTACCATCTTGTATACAGAACTGATTGTATGTGAACATTGAACAACTTAGGTTACAAATAGCATAAGGATGCTATATTAAGATGTATGCTTGTTAATTGTATAAAGTTGATGACATTCTTTTGGTAATTGATTACATACCACAATACAAAAAGCGTGCACTAAAAATGTAAACATATCACAGATATGTAACGAGTAATTATTTAGTAGTTTTAGTATAAAATCATTAGTATAGCAGACTATTTATAACTTAGGACATGAGGTTTCTTAAATCTTGAAAATAATTCAATAATTAATAACTAACTTAATTATATCTTCTATAATTATTAAAAATTACTTACAGTGTTTTTTTCTTTTATTTTAGTTTATTATAAGATACAAGGAATGCATTTAAAACTATCTGATTGGAAGTGTAATAATATAATAATACCTATAAACTATAAATAATAAAGAAAATGGTTAAGTTAATTTTTGTTTTCTGAAATTGAAAAAATACCGGATTTTTAATTTAATCTAGTCAACAGACTAATGTCAAGTATTTACGACAGTTATTCGCTTTTGAGTTTGGTTTACCAACAAATTCCCTTTTTTTTGTTTTTCTCGTATATTTTGAAAAATAGGTACTGATCATTTACAATATTGAGAGTAACAACTAGTTCCAATTTTTGAGTTAAAAATTGATACATTCCTTGCTTTGCTTAGAACCTAAAATACACATAGGCGTGCGCAGCCTCCGGTTTCAGGGGCAGCAAGAGATTAATTCGGCCCATTTTTCAAATTCACCATTAAAACCTGCCCATAGTTTTACTTTTTTTACTATTGGATATAAAAATTAAAATTGTATTGGCTATTTGTTTTTTTGGATAAAAGGTTGTACAGTAAGGTACTAAGCCACTAAAGGTGTACTTTTCTACAAGCATATATATAAAATATTTATCTATAGTTTATCAAAACAAAAAAAATCCTTTGTGGAAATATAATTTTACCGAGGAACATTATTTAATATTTGCCGGCCCCGGTGGCCCCAAAGTAAGTCCAGGGGCAGCATATGCTGCCTCTGCTGCCCCCGTGCGCACGCCTATGAAAATACAATAGATAGGTATGATATTAAACGTGTGAGACGATAGTACTATAGTAGGCGTGCACTTATAAATCATAAATAGCTACTGTTTATTTCCTAAAACATTTCAACTAGGTATAGTAAGTAATTTATTCATTTACTATAGAGTAATGACTAAAGAATATTGATGAATGCTCAGGCATTATAATTTTAGGCAACATGGTCACAGGGAGAGTAAATGGATATTAAATATTAAATTATTTGTGGGCATTTACTTTTAGGTTTCTAAACATAAATTTAGACCCCCTTATATCCCCATTAGGCCTATCCGCTTGTTAGTTACCTACCTAGTTCGAATGTCGATATTAAGGTATTTATTAATAGCCCGTAGTTACTGTACTTATACATATTATGACTGTTTGTATTAAGATTGTTCAACCATTCTATTCAAAGTAAATTTATATTAACCAGTAGAAATTTAAAAATATCAACATTTGAGTCAGTATTTATAATATGGATTCATAAAAATTAATATAAAAAAAATATGTGCCTACCAAAATAATATGGTTATCACATTATATTTGAACTGTGCCTGTATATAACTATACCAAGTGATTCACAAAGCATGCTAACCCATTAAAAATTTAAAATACGTTTAAGAACCAAGAATCTACACTTGCAAAGCAAAATTTTCTAATAAAGATGTATACTGCTTTTTTGAGAATTTTTTTTAATGCACTAATTTGGTTTAGCTGATTTAATATTTTACATAAAGTATCAGTGGCTTATCAGTATGTTATAAACTTATAACTAAAGAGAAATAATATATTATGTCCCCAATCAAAAATCATAAACCAAAAATGCTAGCCCTCAAAAAGATATTTTTCTTGTACCTACTAAGAAAATTTCTTATTGAACTTTTTTTAGTGACGCACTCTATACTCTACACCCTTACTAACTCTACAGTATTTATATTTATGCACATTTTATTAGGTATATTATTGAAAATAATAACATGATATAGGTAATAAGTAGTTAGTTTGAACTTGTTAGTTGTTATATATAAATAAATAATAAGTTTGTTTTTTTAAAGTGTTAATTATATATGCTTATACCTACTTAAGTAATATTTTACGTTGGTAAGTACTAAGTACCTATTAAAGTAATAACAACATGGTGAAACTAATATATTATATTATTTTAAAAAAGGTAAAAATTTTATAAGCATTTTGCGTTAAATTTAATAAGAGTATCAGTACCTACCTGGTGTACTATAAAATATATATTTTAAATACTTCATTTTTATTTGTATTTACAGACAAAGATGTTAGCTTAATTTGAAATCAATATTAGTATTATTATCATTAAGTAGGTACTTCAAAAATATCAGTTCTATTTAACATATCGGTCATGTGCTTACGGTTTCGGGAAGTAATTTAATTTCAAATAAAGTGATAAAAAATGTATTGAATAAAAACATGTAAATATAATGAAAAACTATATTTGATAAAAAAAGTTATGAGTACAATGGCGCCAAACATAACATTTTTTGTGAAGCGAAATTGAAAGTTGATAATAAATTTCGAGTTGATAAGTCGAAATTTCTAGTTTTGAAATCGAAATTGTAACAAATTTTTTTTTCCATGTGGTACTTCTGCGCTCCCGTAAAGATTCAAAGCACCCGTGCACCGTATCACATGCATTATTTGTTGATATTAAATAATATTATTATAGTCAGTGTGAAAAACATCTACAATTTTTGTTCAAACATTTTTTCCAAAAACTCAATAGTTTCTGAGATACAACGATGTTCCATCTTACCTCTAGTCCTTGTCCCTATCTAGATTGGGGCTTCATGCATTTTAGATTCTGAGTGGAACGATGAATGTATTGATTTTACAATGATGTGTGTTTTTTTTTAAATTTAATTTTGTATCTGTGTACACGATAATTAGTCGAAATTATGCTTCAATTTTCAAATTCAGTATCTTGTTCAATTGGAAAGTGAATCTAGTTGTTGCATTCGGGAGGTCAAAATGTAAAATTCCCATAGTTTTCACAAGAGCCAGGATTAAACACATAAAAATTAAGGAATAACGGGAATTTTAAACAAAATCTGTTTTCCAAAAAATCGATTTTGGTTTTTGGTGTAACTCTAAAACAAATGAACGTATATACATGAAATTCTCACTGGTTGTTTAAATTTGCATTTTATATACACGATACAATTTTTAAAATATTATGATTTGTTTTGAACTGTTTAGGGACATTTTCATTTTCCATTTTTTTTAGTTTTTATTCTAAAAATATCAATAAAATTGTATTTGTTGGTTTCGAAAGCTTGAGAATTTAATAGAAGGCTCCTAGCATATTGTTTCAAAGGCAGATGAAAAATATTAAAAATCTTTAGTCACAATTTTTTTTTATAAGCATTTAAAGTTAAAAAATTGACAAAATATGGAAAAATGAGTTAAGAAGAAGTCTTAAAAATTTTTCTTTTCAAATCTAAGATTTGAAAATGTAATATAAGATTACTCCTAAGTTTGTCTACCATTATCAATAAAAAAATCTCTACCGGAAAGTCAAATTAAACTTTTATGAGCGTTTGAAATTCAAATTTTTACAACATTAGTTATTCACTCGATTTCTCATGTAGCGATTTTCTTATTTATTGTAATTCAAAAACGAATAACTGTAGATACATGAAAATTTCACTAAATATTTATATTAGCATTTCCTATACACCCTACAATTTTGAAAATATTTTGATTTTTTTGAGCTGTTTACGGACATTTTCAGTTTTCAATTTTTTTAGTTTTTTATTC